GCCAAGGCGTCCCTGGGAGCTGACTGGTTGCAGCCCAGCAGCGCCCGACGGCCGTGTGCGGCTCAGATCCCGTGAGCCCAACTCTAATTGGCCGTGCTGCCTTCCAGCTGCTTTCCTGCTGGCCGGAGCCCTCCTGGCCGCCCGCGGTGCCGTCCGGGCATCCCGCACGCTGCACCAAGAGCTGCTCAGCAATATCTTGCGCGTGCCTATGAGCTTCTTCGACACGACCCCGACGGGTCGCATTGTCAACAGGTTTGCCAAGGTGCGTGCTCATGGTGGGCGCTCTGGCAGGGCTGGGGCTGGGGAGGGACGGCCCTGGCTCCAGGTATTTCGTGGGCACGTTTCTTGCTGTAGTGCCAATAGCTTTATCTTAGGGACACGCATCCCGGTGGGGTGAGGGGCAGGAGTTCCTCTGCTGATGGAGACATAACGCCTTCCCCAAAAGGCCCACTGTGCGGTCAGCACCGCGAGTAGCAGCATTTGGTCAGGTTTCAGCTGGGCTTTGTGATGTGCACAAGGTGGGTCTGAAGTAGGCACCTGACTAAGCTTTAATCATGAAGAACTAGAGGAGGAGTGGGGTCTAAGGGTTAGAGCTGGGGGGCACTGAGAGCTCTGACTCCGGGGTCCTATTCTCAGATCTGGGAGGGCGTAGGGTCTAATGGTTAGAACACGAGGAACTGGAAGTCAGGGGCCAGCATGCCCCATGAGTAGGGCCCTACCAAATTCATGATCCACTTTGGTCAATTTCCCGGTCATAGGATTTTTAAAATAGTAACGTTCATGTTGTCAGCGCCGTCAATTGGAAATGTCCCGGTGTTGCAGTTGTAGGGATCCTGACCCAAAAGTGGATTGTGGGGTGGCGTCACTACCATTATTGTAGGGGAGGCTGCGGTACTGCTACCCTCACTTCTGCACTGCTGCTGGTGGCAGTGCAGCCTTCAGCACAGGCAGCTGGAGAGCAGCGGCTGCTGGCCAGGAGCCCAGCTCCGAAGACAGAGCCACTGCCAGCTGCAGCTCAGAAATAAGAGCAGTTTGCTGTGTGGTATGGCCACTCTTACGCCCATGCTACTGCCTGCAGAGCTGGGCCCTCAGCAGCCACCGCTCTCCAGAGAGCTCTGGAATGCGGGTGGCCATGCGGCAAACCTCCTGCAGCTCTCTCGGCTCAGCACCCCAAACTTGAGAAACGCTGGTTTTCCCTGTGGAATTTGTGGAGTACAGGGTAAAAGCACCCAAAAGTCCAGGCGTCACGGGGCAGTCCAGGCGTCACGGGGACAGTGCTGGCGTCACGGGGGCAGTGCTGGCGTCACGGGGGCAGTGTAGGCGTCACGGGGGCAGTCCTGGCGTCACGGGGGCAATACAGGCGTCACGGGGACAGTGCAGGCGTCACGGGGGCAGTGCAGGCGTCACGGGGGCAATACAGGCGTCACGGGGACAGTGCAGGCGTCACGGGGGCAGTGCAGGCGTCACGGGGGCAATACAGGCGTCACGGGGACAGTGCAGGCGTCACGGGGGCAGTGCAGGCGTCACGGGGGCAATACAGGCGTCACGGGGACAGTGCAGGCGTCACGGGGGCAGTGCAGGCGTCACGGGGGCAATACAGGCGTCACGGGGACAGTGCAGGCGTCACGGGGGCAGTGCAGGCGTCACGGGGGCAATACAGGCGTCACGGGGACAGTGCAGGCGTCACGGGGGCAGTGCAGGCGTCACGGGGGCAATACAGGCGTCACGGGGACAGTGCAGGCGTCACGGGGGCAGTGCAGGCGTCACGGGGGCAATACAGGCGTCACGGGGACAGTGCAGGCGTCACGGGGGCAGTGCAGGCGTCACGGGGGCAATACAGGCGTCACGGGGACAGTGCAGGCGTCACGGGGGCAGTGCAGGCGTCACGGGGGCAATACAGGCGTCACGGGGACAGTGCAGGCGTCACGGGGGCAGTGCAGGCGTCACGGGGGCAATACAGGCGTCACGGGGACAGTGCAGGCGTCACGGGGGCAGTGCAGGCGTCACGGGGGCAATACAGGCGTCACGGGGACAGTGCAGGCGTCACGGGGGCAGTGCAGGCGTCACGGGGGCAATACAGGCGTCACGGGGACAGTGCAGGCGTCACGGGGGCAGTGCAGGCGTCACGGGGGCAATACAGGCGTCACGGGGACAGTGCAGGCGTCACGGGGGCAGTGCAGGCGTCACGGGGGCAATACAGGCGTCACGGGGACAGTGCAGGCGTCACGGGGGCAGTGCAGGCGTCACGGGGGCAATACAGGCGTCACGGGGACAGTGCAGGCGTCACGGGGGCAGTGCAGGCGTCACGGGGGCAATACAGGCGTCACGGGGACAGTGCAGGCGTCACGGGGGCAGTGCAGGCGTCACGGGGGCAATACAGGCGTCACGGGGACAGTGCAGGCGTCACGGGGGCAGTGCAGGCGTCACGGGGGCAATACAGGCGTCACGGGGACAGTGCAGGCGTCACGGGGGCAGTGCAGGCGTCACGGGGGCAATACAGGCGTCACGGGGACAGTGCAGGCGTCACGGGGGCAGTGCAGGCGTCACGGGGGCAGTGCAGGCGTCACGGGGGCAGTGCAGGCGTCACGGGGACAGTGCAGGTCTCACAGGGGCAGTCCTGGCATCAGGGGGCAGTGCAGGCGTCACAGGGGCAGTCCTGGCGTCACGGGGGCAATACAGGCGTCACGGGGACAGTGCAGGCGTCACGGGGCAGTGCAGGCGTCACGGGGGCAATGCAGGCGTCACGGGGCAATGCAGGCGTCACGGGGGCAGTGCAGCCGTCACGGGGGCAGTGCAGGCGTCACGGGGCAATGCAGGCGTCACGGGGGCAGTGCAGCCGTCACGGGGGCAGTGCAGGCGTCACGGGGCAATGCAGGCGTCACGGGGGCAGTGCAGCCGTCACGGGGGCAGTGCAGGCGTCACGGGGCAATGCAGGCGTCACGGGGGCAGTGCAGCCGTCACGGGGGCAGTGCAGGCGTCACGGGGCAATGCAGGCGTCACGGGGGCAGTGCAGCCGTCACGGGGGCAGTGCAGGCGTCACGGGGCAATGCAGGCGTCACGGGGGCAGTGCAGCCGTCACGGGGGCAGTGCAGGCGTCACGGGGCAATGCAGGCGTCACGGGGGCAGTGCAGCCGTCACGGGGGCAGTGCAGGCGTCACGGGGCAATGCAGGCGTCACGGGGGCAGTGCAGCCGTCACGGGGGCAGTGCAGGCGTCACGGGGCAATGCAGGCGTCACGGGGGCAGTGCAGCCGTCACGGGGGCAGTGCAGGCGTCACGGGGCAATGCAGGCGTCACGGGGGCAGTGCAGCCGTCACGGGGGCAGTGCAGGCGTCACGGGGCAATGCAGGCGTCACGGGGGCAGTGCAGCCGTCACGGGGGCAGTGCAGGCGTCACGGGGCAATGCAGGCGTCACGGGGGCAGTGCAGCCGTCACGGGGGCAGTGCAGGCGTCACGGGGCAATGCAGGCGTCACGGGGGCAGTGCAGCCGTCACGGGGGCAGTGCAGGCGTCACGGGGCAATGCAGGCGTCACGGGGGCAGTGCAGCCGTCACGGGGGCAGTGCAGGCGTCACGGGGCAATGCAGGCGTCACGGGGGCAGTGCAGCCGTCACGGGGGCAGTGCAGGCGTCACGGGGCAATGCAGGCGTCACGGGGGCAGTGCAGCCGTCACGGGGGCAGTGCAGGCGTCACGGGGCAATGCAGGCGTCACGGGGGCAGTGCAGCCGTCACGGGGGCAGTGCAGGCGTCACGGGGCAATGCAGGCGTCACGGGGGCAGTGCAGCCGTCACGGGGGCAGTGCAGGCGTCACGGGGCAATGCAGGCGTCACGGGGGCAGTGCAGCCGTCACGGGGGCAGTGCAGGCGTCACGGGGCAATGCAGGCGTCACGGGGGCAGTGCAGCCGTCACGGGGGCAGTGCAGGCGTCACGGGGCAATGCAGGCGTCACGGGGGCAGTGCAGCCGTCACGGGGGCAGTGCAGGCGTCACGGGGCAATGCAGGCGTCACGGGGGCAGTGCAGCCGTCACGGGGGCAGTGCAGGCGTCACGGGGCAATGCAGGCGTCACGGGGGCAGTGCAGCCGTCACGGGGGCAGTGCAGGCGTCACGGGGCAATGCAGGCGTCACGGGGGCAGTGCAGCCGTCACGGGGGCAGTGCAGGCGTCACGGGGCAATGCAGGCGTCACGGGGGCAGTGCAGCCGTCACGGGGGCAGTGCAGGCGTCACGGGGCAATGCAGGCGTCACGGGGGCAGTGCAGCCGTCACGGGGGCAGTGCAGGCGTCACGGGGCAATGCAGGCGTCACGGGGGCAGTGCAGCCGTCACGGGGGCAGTGCAGGCGTCACGGGGCAATGCAGGCGTCACGGGGGCAGTGCAGCCGTCACGGGGGCAGTGCAGGCGTCACGGGGCAATGCAGGCGTCACGGGGGCAGTGCAGCCGTCACGGGGGCAGTGCAGGCGTCACGGGGCAATGCAGGCGTCACGGGGGCAGTGCAGCCGTCACGGGGGCAGTGCAGGCGTCACGGGGCAATGCAGGCGTCACGGGGGCAGTGCAGCCGTCACGGGGGCAGTGCAGGCGTCACGGGGCAATGCAGGCGTCACGGGGGCAGTGCAGCCGTCACGGGGGCAGTGCAGGCGTCACGGGGCAGTGCAGGCGTCACGGGGACAGTGCAGGCGTCACGGGGACAGACCAGGTTTCAGGGTTTGTGGCATGTTTTGACAGCCATGAATTTGGTGGGGCCTCCCCAGGAGGCAAGGCCCTTCCTGTCTCTGTGTCAGTTTCCCTGTCTGGCCACTGCACCCCAGGGCTGGCCAGCGGTGCTGCGAGAACCCCCGAGTGTGTGCAGGTCCCTCTTCGTGCCTCGCAGGGCCTGGGGTCAGAGCCTGCAGCTCCCCTCTCCTCCATCCCTTCTCAGGATATCTTCACTGTGGATGAGACCATCCCCATGTCCTTCCGCAGTTGGCTGGCCTGCTTCTTGGGCATCATCAGCACCTTGCTCATGATCTGCCTGGCCACCCCCTACTTCGCTGTCGTCGTCATCCCCCTGGCCGGCGCCTATTTCTTCCTGCTGGTGAGTGGGTCCGGCGCACGTCCTTTGCAGTGGGACGGCAGAGCTCAGCCTTGCTCCTCCCCCATGGCGCCCGCAGCCACGCCCGGCTCTCTGCTGCCTGCCCTGGGCGGGAAGGCCTGGGTGTATGTTGCAGTAACAGCTGCTTCTCTGCCCCAGCACTTCTACGTTGCCACCTCCCGCCAGCTGAGACGCCTGGATTCCATCACCAGGTCTCCCATCTACTCCCACTTCAGCGAGACTGTGTCCGGGCTGTCTGTGATCAGGGCGTATGGCCACCAGGAGCGCTTCCTGCAGCACAACCACGGGGCCGTGGACACCAACCAGAAAAGCGTTTACTCCTGGATTGTCTCCAATAGGTGAGACTGGGCTGCCCCAGCGGGACAGTCAGGCAGGGCGCAGCTGGGGCGGCGCAGCGACGGATGCAGAACAAGGAGCAATGGGCTCAAGTTGCGGTGGGAGAGGTCCAGGCTGGATATTAGGAAAAACTGTTTCACTGGGAGGGTGGGGAAGCCCTGGGCTGGGTTCCGTAGGGAGGGGGTGGAGTCTCCATCCCTAGAGGTGTTTAAGTCCCAGCTTGACAGAGCCCTGGCTGGGATGATTGAGTTGGGACTGGTCCTGCCTTGGGCAGGGGGCTGGACGCGATGACCCCCGAGTTCTCTTCCAGCTCTATGGGTCTATGGTTCTATGATGGCTGGGGCTCTCCTGGGCTTTGGCTTCTCCGAAGAGCCGCATCTGAACTTGCTAGGTTTGGGGTGGGGCTCCAGGGAGCCAACACCCTCAGGTGCCAGAGGCTACCTGGAGTCTGAGTGGACCTGCTAGGAAATCAGGGGCCGGCCACAGCCAGCCAAGGGGCTTTGCTGGGCAGGGTCTTGGCTGAGGAGTGGGGCCCTGCTGTGGAGGTTGCACTGCGGGGCTGAGCTGTTCTGGGTTGGTGGGGAGCAGTATTAGATGTGTTGGAGAGACTGGACGTTGCTGATGGTGCTGAATGGTGGGTTATGCCAGCTGGTTGCTGCACGGTCAGGGCCGTGAGCGGATGGAGGTGCTGTGGAGGTTGCACTGCGGGGCTGAGCTGTTCTGGGTTGGTGGGGAGCAGTATTAGATGTGTTGGAGAGACTGGACGTTGCTGATGGTGCTGAATGGTGGGTTATGCCAGCTGGTTGCTGCACGGTCAGGGCCGTGAGCGGATGGAGGTGGGGCCGGGCTGGGTGTGGGGCCGTGAGTG